CTAATTGCGTTTGAAGCAAGCGAGGATAGCTTCAAGACAGAGGCTGAAAACTGGAAAGGTCAGCCAGATTAAAGCAGTTGATTGGAAACCTCAACATAAAGACGTCACAGGGAAAAGAGTGCTGCTATATTGCACTTGGATACAAGCAAATGAGTCATCAAGTGATGCTTTTCTTCTTGTAGGACATAGAACTGAAAGGGAGAAGCCATTGGCTGAACTGTACACCAATCATCGTTGTAACTAGGGAACGCTTCAGCCTTTTTTCTCCCTTAGAGCTTGGCAGAAGTGAATTTCTAAAAAAACCCAACATAGTTTGTGTTTGCCTGTGTGCAGAGTATTTTCTGCGCAGAGTATTTGTGTCTCACGGTAACAATTCTTTGCTTCATTCTGCTTCATTCATTTGTGCAATAATTACTTCACACTGGTTTTATTCTTCTTCATTTAATGTCTATAATTGTTATTTCATATTCTCCTTGATGCTGTAAGTAAAGGAATGTACAGATTGCCAAACTGGGATAAGGCTGTTTATTGCTTGATGCTGTAGTGATTTATCCAGCTCAGTAAATTCCCTAGGAATATTAGGAATTACAACTACAACCCCAATTATCTCCTGTTAATAAAAGTTAATATATTTACAAGACCCCAGATTAAGAAAGAAAAGCTACTCAAGTGGAATTTTTGGACTTGTAACTGAGGCATTTCCTCAAATATCTTTTTAATGTAATAAATTTGAATAAAAGTAAGAATCAAAAGAAGATAAAAGTTAAAATAATGTGGGGGTTGGTTTTTTTTTAAGGAAAAACGAGACCTGTATATATGTGTTTTGAAGGAGTTTTAGTTCTTTATCATGTTTGAAAAAAATCTGTATTGTTTGTTAAACTGTTCATACTATTTTTGGGGGGGTTTTAAGATACATTTTTAAGTGTTGCATGATAATTCAGAATATTTCTGGTATTTTACAACTTAAAGTTCTTTTAATAATAATAATAAGCCCTTTATTATCAAAGTATAACATGTATACAGTGAAATTGGCTGAGCTTCCCTCTGTGCCCCCCCCTCACCACAAACCCACGGTGACTACAAACCCCCAACTTATTTCACCCTGTGAACTAATTGCACATCACGCCAGCCTCACGAGTCTGTCATGCATGAAGTTATAAACCAGCTTGTGAGATTTGACTACTGGGCTATAGAGAAATTTAATAAAATAATTAAATTTTAATTATTAAATAAAATAATTAAAAAAATAATTAAATAAAATAACACCACCTGTGCGATGATGTTCGATGGGTCATGCCATGGTAAGCAAATTGGAAAAGGACAAGGCCGGGATTTTATCCTTTTTTCATTAAAAGGCTACAGACAAAAAGTGCAGAGATTGAGCTGAGAAACCAAAAAAAGATGTGATGTTGAAAAGAAAAATAATTTACAGGACAAATAAGATTAAAGATGTAAACACTCAATAGGTCAAATTTTAAAGAAGCAATTGAGAACAAATCTGAGTATGTCTTTCTTTAAGCATAAACCAGAAGTAGAATACGGTGCTAGAACTCTGCTTCATCCTAGATCAGGAGTGGGGAACTACGGCCCTGTTATGATGGCTGGCTCAGGAATTCTGGGAATTGAAGTCCACAAGTTATAAAAGGGCCGTAGTTCCCCACCTCTGTCCTAGATAGTGGAGTAGTAACTGTGGCCCAGAAAACCTTTATCTAGCTCAGTGGTTCTCAACCTTTTTAATGTCGCGACCCCAACCGGTCGTAAGTCGAGGACTAAACCAGTCATAATCGAGGACTAAACCGGTCGTAAGTCGAGGACTACCCAACCGGTCGTAAGTCGAGGACTTTCCCTGCCCGGGAGAACCGCACATGTGTGGTTCCGCCCCCTGCACTGGCCGAGGCATAGCTGGCAAGCGGCAGAGATGGAGCAGGCCGACCACCAGCTGGCCCAGCCCAAGGGAGGTAAGGCACCCGCCGGAAAAGGGAAAAAAAATGGCGGACAAAAAAAATGGCGGACAGCCTTGCTTGGCGACCCACGTGAAATGGTCGATAGACCCCAAATGGGGTCCCGACCCACAGGTTGAGAACCACTGATCTAGCTGTCTATATACCAGGTACAATTAAACTTTAAATGATGAACAGCAACCCTCACGTGGTGCATAATGTTGGAGCCAGACTTTTGGTTGGGCGCACAGGTTATTATTACTATCAAAGTGTTATTTACCTTTAATTCTTCCACAGAAATATATCAATTTAGTCCTCTCCTGTGAATTTATTTATGTTTGAAGGCAAGCGGAAGTGGCTTTTGCTTACAGGTTGCAGATAGGCAGATGTGGGTTTTCTCTCCGGTAGTTCCTCTTGGGTGAGAAATTCTACTCCAAGTATTTGGATAAGATATTTGGTTGAGATTCCATCTGCCCTGAAAATCTTCTGTTTCCTTTAGCAATAATTTAAATTTGGCATTGCTTCAAGGATAAACAACCATTTGTTCTTTTTGAAAGCTTAACATCCACTGGACAGACTACTGAAGAAAGAATGTGTCATCTAAGTTGATGGGATTCCCCCCTCGCTGGCTGAGGAATTCTGGGAAATGAAGTCCACAAGTCATAAAAGGGCCAAGTTTGAAGGACCCCTGTTGTAGGATATAGTCAAAAATATCTCCTACACTACAGCTTGCTTATGCTTGTATCTCAGAGGTAGGGAACAATAGCCCATTTTTTACTTGTGGACTTCAACTCCCAGAATTCCTGAGCCAGCAACCTCTCTTCCATCTAAAAGGGTAAGAAAGGTAAGAAACCATACTGCTGCTTTTCAGCAACTATGATGGGACGGGCAGCGCCAGGGCCTCAAATTAAGCATCCAAACCTATCGGGCGGCAACTAAGTTGTTTTCTTTTTTTAATTTTCTTTTTTGCTGTTTGCTATCATTTTACTTCTAATCTCTTGGTTTTCGTTACATGGACCTTTTTTTCTTACTTTACCTATTGATCTATTCAGTTTTGTTAATGGTTTTGTGAATATTCATTCCATGGGGGCGGGGTAGGTGGGTAGAGAACAAGCCTAATTACAATACCTAGTATTTATCCCTTGCAACAAAATTGTATTCAATCATGCAAGTGGATCTACTCTTGGTGGAGTTGTACAGCCAAAGGTCCAAGCAGATTCATGCTCTCCTTCAGTTTGCATTGTAATGGAATATTCACTAGTCTTTCTCTATTTTTCTACATTGTCCTCCAGCCAATCTCCATTACTAATTAGCAGGGCTTTTTTTCTTCATAGAACGCCCAGAACGGAGTTCCGGCACCTTTTTTGGATGGAACCTTGTAGGGTAGGCAAGGCGGGTTGTATGATGTGTGTGAGTTCTGGCACCTCTTTTTTTTTTTTTTTAGAAAAAAAGCACTGCTAATTAGGAGTCTATTGTAAACTATGGAGCAAAAAACTTTGATATCTTAAAGAAAAAAAATCTGGGAGTTCCAGACGTGCTAACATTTCTAGAACATGAATGCTGATTTTGTCAATATATTAACTGACATTGAGCACCGCGTGTCAAAGAAGCACAAAGCAAAAAGGAGAAAACAAATCACCATTTGTTAAAAACAGACTATAGTCGTGCTGACTGAGAAACTTAACTGCTTCTTCCTGGTACCAATAAAGATTTTTATCAGGACATGTTGCTGTTGAGCATATGAGTGATTTTTGCTGAATTCAAGCTGGGGGCTGACAAATATGTTAATTCTGGCATTTTAAACTTTAATAGTATATTGTGAATATACACACAAAATCATGCAGTAATGAAATAGCTGCCATAGTGCTTGGTGTTAATCCCCAAAAGTCATGTTAGAAGAAAGGCACTCAAGTTAAATTGTTCCACCACCACCCAACTCCTTTCAATTCCCCTGGAATGTGGTCTATTTATCTTAACTTTATCTTAACTTTTTTTTTATAGGAGTCCTTGATATTCTCTGAGCTTGATTGTTTGCTTGTAGGTGTTTCATTACCCAATTTGATAACATCATTGGTACTTTTGAGTGTGGGCTTTGCTCCCTTTTATATTTATGTAGCTTGCCCTGCCAGTATTGGTTGGGATGTGGTTTTATCATTTGTAATTAGGGTATTGTTTTCTGCTTGGTTATTTGTCTCATGTTAATTCCTGTTTATCTGTGTGTTAGCTGCTAGAGAGTATATGTTACAGTATTCTTACTTTTTTATAGACTCCTTTGAATGGTGTGTAAATGTGGTTTTTCTCTATTTCTCTATTGATGGCTGATTTGTCTGAATACGAAGCTTTCAAGAATTGGATTTAGCTTGGTCTACGTCTACAATGCTCACAGTTTCCCAATTATAACTATGGTTGAATCGGTCCATGTGTTGTGAAATTAAAGGGCTTTCTTTGTGTTTTCTGATTGCTAACTGATATTCATAGATTGCTCTGCTTTTGTTTTCAAATATGCATTAATTCTAATACTGAACTGCTTCCAGTCACCAGTTATATTTCCCAAGAATGCTTATATAAACTCTAGGTGAGATGCAAAGGAGTCCTGTGGAAAAGATGATGCTAGAGACTGGCTTTGCCAGATGCCATTGCTTTGGGCACAAGGGACTTAGTGGCAGGCAGGCATATTAATCTCAATAGTCTGTATGATGCCTATAGGAGCTGATGAAATTTAGAAATGATACTGAAATTAAACAAGGTACAAAGTTTGTGTTACTGCTGCTTATCATTGCTCAGACTAATTGGCTATATAAAACCAAGTTTTTGAAGCTGTAGATAAGCAGAAACAGGCCTCTAGAATTGGTTGACAATTATGCAGCCCAGTCTGTCCTTTGGTACCAATGTTGTATAAGGGGATTTATCAGGGAAGAGATTCATCGTTGTTCAATAGAGAAGACTTTGGATGATGCTCCCAGTTTGACTGGCAAATAGATGTACACACACACACAGAGAGAGAGAGAGAGGGGGGGGGGAAAGCAGTTTTTCTGCATATGTCTGTTTCCTGTTACACAGATGGCTGTTTGTGCAGCAACTGGCCATTCTGCTTATTTTTGGATCAAGAGGAGGAAGTGTTTACAGTTGCCCAGTAACTGTTGCACATCTTTATAACCAGAGTCCTACAAATCCCCATCAGTCAGTTTATGATATTGAAAACAATGGCTATTGTAAAACACGCACATGCATGAATGTACCAAACAACAGCTGGAGTGTGTGTTTTTGGAGAGAGGCAAGGTATAAGGAAAATGAGAATTGACTATAACAAACTTAATAACAGAATCTTTTCTTCTCCTGCAGGAGGTGGAGGAAAGCGCAAAGGTAAAAGCAAAAAATGGAAGGAAATCCTGAAGTTTCCTCATATTAGCCAGTGTGAAGATCTTCGAAGAACAATAGGTACAAACTTACTTTTTTGCCTTTCTCCTCCAAATATTTGGTTTGAGAGCCTTTCTTATAACAAAGTAAAATAGCTTTACTTTTTTAATATAGGAAATGTTTTACTAAATCAGGGCAAATCTATAGCCTTCAAAATATTAAATATATTGAATATCGTTACTCTAAGTAATAATCCAAAAATACTAGGTGATGTATTGTTAGGTACAGTATATGCAAAATCTCCTGCTTCTGGTTTGGAGGATTAACTTCCAGAAAACTACTGCATCATTCCCAGATTGAATGGATTATCATGGTCTGGGAGAGTTCCTGAAATAGTAGATTTTGTACAAATCTATTATTTGTATTGTCACATTTTTATTTATATGGTACTCTTTCAAAGAAATCTGTGCATTAAGGACAACAGCAGATGGCCTGGGCTAATAAGGTTTGCCATTCATACATATAGTCAAGGCCATGGTTTTCCCAGCTGCATGTATGGATGTGAAAGTTGGACCATACGAAAGGCTGAGAGACAAAGAATTGAGGCCTTTGAACTATGGTGCTGGAGAAGACTCCTGCGAGTCCCTTGGACTGCAAGGCGTTCAAACTGGTCAGTCCTAGAAGAGATCAACCCCGACTGCTCTTTAGAAGGCCAGATCCTGAAGTTGAAACTCAAACACTTTGGCCACCTAATGAGAAGGAAGGACTCACTGGAGAAGGGCCTAATGCTGGGAAAGATTGAGTGCAATAGAAGAAGGGGATGACAGAGAATGAGGTGGCTGGATGGAGTCACTGAAGCTGTAGGCGTGAACTTAAATGGACTCCAGAAGATGGTAGAGGACAGGAAGACCTGGAGGAACGTTGTCCATGGGGTCGCGATGGGTCGGACACGACTTCGCAATTAACAACAACAACAGCAGCAGCAGCAACATTCATACAGACATTGTTGAGCCAGCACACATGTATGTGTTGGTGTGTGCAAGTTGCTGCAAGAAAAAAGTGTCCACAGAAGAACAATTTTTTTCTGGAATTTTAGATGAAACAGAACAGTCTGTCTCTGAACTGAATGCTTTCTCAGCAGTTGGGTTTCTACTTCCATTTACACATATATCACTGAAATTTTGGACTGTAAGATTATCTATCTACATTGTTATTTGGAATAGATGTCACAGTGCATGGGGTGTTTGAACAGTAAGATCGCTACCAACATCAAACTGCTTTTATCGACTTTAAAAAGTAGGCATGTGCTTTTTGGCATATCTTGCCAAGTCCAGAGAGAAGCTTCCTTCCCCGCTAAAGGGAGGGAAATAGTAGTCAGGGGTGTCCACTGTTAACCTCTACTCCCATAGCTACCGTAGGAGTCAGATGCCCTGCAGTTTTTGTCACACACAGTTAGGCTTTAATAGAAATCTGTTGAATATGGAAGAAGAAAAAATATTTCTAAAATATGGCAGACAAGAACCAGATGGACATTCCAGCCTTATCTCCTAAGTGACCAACCAGTTAAGGAGTTTGTGAAAAAGAGGATCAAATCACTCCCAGAGACTCTGCCTTAATGTTCTCTGTAATACATGGGAAATAGACTCTGATATTCTGTAACTCCTATTTCCTTACATTAAATCTTTTTACTGAGACTTATGTATGAATCTCATACATAATGTATCTCATTTCTTGTCATCTACTGCTGTTTGGGCGTTGACCAAGAAAAGGCTAAGAAGAGCAGAAATGTTCGCCACTTTCATTGGGCTGGCAATCAGCAAGCCCATATGGTCCCAGTTTGAACCACTGCTTTCTACTTCAGCTGAAGCCTATTGCCTTGTAAAAGGTCTCTCTGGAGATGTAGAGAAGTGGTTGCAAATCTGTGCTGACCATGATTCTCTATGTCTTCTGCTATGATTGATTGATGATGGGGTACAATTGGGAACAATATTTTAATCCTTTTAAGAAACCCTCCATCAGCATGAGAATACAAGAAGGTCCATCCTCAATCTAAGAGCTCTAATTGAGAGGGGACCCAAAAGAATATGAGAAATGTTGGAATGTGGCTATGATGCCGCTTAAGAAGGGGGTACCAGAAATCCTGGTGGGATGCTCCAAACTGGGAATATGGGAGACCATTGGGGGAGATAAACAGAATAAGGAATCAATTTCCAGTATGATAGGCAGAGAGAAATATAGCAGGATTATATTTCAGTAGCAATTCCAGGAAAATGGGGATCAGCAATTTGGTTCCTTTCTTCCAGCCCGGCAATCTTGTTTGCAGGTCATGGATCACATCTTCACCATAAGCAGCATAAGCAACACAAGCGTCTTTTCTTTTGGGTCATTCATACTTGGAACTTTCTGCATCCAGAAGTTTACTCGGCGCTCTCCTCACATGGCATTTTGAAAAGCAGTCAAAATTGCCCTTCTACCAAGTTTTTAAATCCAACTAATTGCTTAGATGTCCATCTTGGGGGATAGGTTTGGACTGCATACATTGTTTGCATTGTTTCATATGTTTTATTCTGCTGTATTTCACTCATATACTTATTTATATAAATAAGCCTACAGATTGCCACCAACGCCAGTCCTCCCTTGCTTTATTTCTGATCACTGATGAAAGGGTGGAGTTTATAGAAAATCTAAATATTGGAACAGTTACTATGCACTAATGGCTGGCATTACTCCAAATAGTTTACCAAGAAATATAATCATTTATATAGTGATATCCATAATGAGTTGGACTAAGATTTAGATATGCCATTAAACACTTGAAATATGACTGCAGTTCCAGTTAATACATCCAGAGATGTATTTAAAATAAGGTCAGAAAGATGATTGAAGCTTTTTACAACTAATTGCTCTTCTGGATAGAATAAATTAGAATTTATTTTAGATTTGGTGGGACACACACACACACAAACAAACACATGTAGAAAACACAACGTAGCAAGAAAGTAATAGACAAAAGATGTTAAAGACATGAGATGTGCAGAAACTGTAGCCATATCTAGTTTACAGCAACAGCATTCAGACCACCTTTCTAATACTTGAAAACTGCTTCTATCTTTTCCATAAGTCACTTCATGTTTCTTCGTTTGTTTTTAATTTATCACTGTCTTCTTTTTTGAGAATCTCAGCAGTTCCATCAAGTCAGAACATTCTTGGTCTTCCCGGAAAGGGGAATTTATCCATTCACTCCTTCATTATTTGTTTTGCATTTGCTTTCCATTCATTGTCTCCACTTGATAAATTACCTCAGAGTTGTTCTTGGTCAGGTCACTATTTTTATCACTGAGAAAATAATTTCCATTAGCACAGTTATGATTAGTAATCATGCATAAATATCCTCACTTTTATTAATTGAAATAAAACAGTAAACAAAACCCTGCTTTGATGTTTATAGTTATTTCCTGTGAAACATTCAGAAAGAACTATGGCCTACATTAAACAGGAAAATTTCTACCTGTTATTGAAAGACATCTTGAATTAGCGGAAATCAAGTTCTTGTGGTTGGTTTCTGAGTATGTTAACACCATGAACATAGAAGGAAATCTAAATTGAATGTCAATGAGATGATCAAAGACAATTCTAATCTCGTCTCTAAATATGTCTGACTGTGTTGTTACCACTATGGGATGGGAGTGGGGTTGGGGGGGGGATTAAGTTTGGATTTTTAACTGTGGATATTTTATGTTGTACATTGCCCAGAGTTACCATGTGTGAGTTGGGTGGCTATATAAATCTGTTTAATAAATAAATAAATTCCATGGCATTAAAAGAAAAGAAAATCCTCTCTGGCTGTCATAAAAATTATCTTTTATTTAGAGTCAGTTCTTGGCTAGTACCATTGACTAATACTGTAGTGCAGGGGTGGGGAACAATGGCCCTTTTATGACTTGTGGACTTCAACTCCCAGAATGCTGTTTTGGGAATTCTGGAAGTTGAAGACCACAAATCATAAAGGGGCCATCATTCCCCACCTTTGCTGTAGTGGAAATAGGTTTATGTACTTATGTCTATAGTCTGCTTCTTTCATTGCATTCCCTCCTCCCATCCAATAAAAGCACTTGTATCATCTTGAAGCAGTTTTGGTGTATGCAAAGTCTTCTAATCCTTGATGTTTGTGGGAAGCTCTGATTGCCTATCTTTATATCCTTCAGAATGGGAGCAGACTTTCTGCAGCTATCCTGAGAAGGCTTTGAGAAAACAAGGCATCTTTTCAGCCACATTCCAGAATTTTGTATCTTGTTTTGTATTTTGTTTTGACTTGGTGATCTCACTCCAAAAGCAGCATTGCTGGCTTTGCTCACATCTTAAGCATTTTAAACTGGGAAATAATGGACAGATTTATAATTCACAACTTTCACTGAGAAAAGTCTGTATGTCATAAGAATTGGCACCTGATTAACAACCTCTAGTCAGAGGTGTAAGGCAGGGGTTGGGAACAATGGCCCCTTTATGACTTGTGGACTTCAACTTCTCAGAATTCCTGAACCAGCATGACTGGCTCAGGAATTCTGGGAGTTGAAGTCCACGAGTCATGAAAGGGGCAAGGGGCATCGTTCCCCACCCCTGGTGTAAGGCATTCACTTTGAAAGATGTTTATATGTGGGAGTGGGCTGTAAGAAATAAAATAAACATTGATTTTATCACAGGCAGAAGTAACGCATAAATAAATAATATAGTTTTATCTCTCACAAGTTATAGCTTCCCACCCCATCAGAAACAATCACCTTTTTCTTAGAAATCACACTTGGAACAAAAGAAATAGTTCACCAGTTCGCCAGTCTTTGCAATTCTAGCAAAAGTTAAATATCTATGTTACTGAATAGCAGTTTCTATGCTACTTGAAGCAGGGTTTAGTTATCACTGAATGTTGTTATTTAGCTATTCTTGGATCTCTTCCCTTAAAATCTTGGAATCTGAAATATATTTTCTTTGAGTGCTGTCCTAGAGTTGGATGATATGTGCTGTATTTTCTGCCATTGAAGATTTGGATGGGCTGCAATGGAAGCAATCAAGAAGATGGAAATGTA